ATTATCATTTGCAAATTGAGTTTTCATTTTTCCTTTCTAATCTGATGTCGCTCATTTTGTTTTCTTGCATGAAAGTTTTGGCTAGAATACCCAGTGCAATGTTGACTAGAAGCAGTAAGCCTGGGCATTGTGATTTTGTACCTCATCTGAAATACAGTCAGACTGTTTTCATAATTATGATATTCCATTTTAGGGTGTCAGGAGCTTCTCTTTGGGAATGAAGAGAGGGCCCAGGGGGGTGAGTGCTTAGAACTTTTGCAGAAGAACTGGATTTCAGCTCTGAGTACAGACATAAGGGTTCAACTACCTACCAAGTCAGGCATCTCACAACTACCTGTAAGTCCAGCCCCAGAGAACCAAGCACCCTCTTCTGGCCTCTCTAGGCATGTGCACTCAAGTGTGCATGTGTGCATGCAAGTGTGTGCAGGCACACACTCACAAACATATGCACACACAAAAGTAAAATAAATCTTTTAGTATGAAATGTCAAGGTATAAATCTGTTTGCTTGTTTCTTCTTTTTTCATTAATTAGTTAGTTAATTAATTAATTAAGGTTTTTGCAAGACAGGGTCTCTCTATGTAGCCCTGGGTGTCCCAGAACTCACTATGTAAACCAGACTGGCCTCAAACTCATAGAGATCCACCTACCTCTGGCTCCAAAGTGCTGATCCTATGTGAATTTTTTATAGTTTTTTTCCTTATTTCTTTTGTTTGTTTGTTTTGTTTTTGTTGTTGTTGTTGTTGTTTTCGAGACAGAGTTTCTCTGTGTAGTTTTGGTGCCTGTCCTGGATTTCTCTCTGTAGACCTCTGGCCTCAAACTCACAGAGATCTGCCTGGCTCTGCCTCCCGAGTGCTGGGATTAAAGGCATGCACCTTTGGTGACTTGGCTTATCCAGTTCAGCAGCATCCATTTCCTCTGGTTTTCCATGCCTGTGAATCCCCTGTGTTCCTTGAGGATACTCATCCTTGTACATGTGTATCTTTACCCTCTCCTTACCCTCCAAGTGTGGTTGTCATTTCAGTTGCCCTTTCTTTGTCTGTCTCTCTCCATGGCCTCACAATTAAGTCTCTGGTTGTTCTGTCTATACTGGTTTCTCACCCAGACTTTGCGCTTCAAAAATTGCCTCCTAATTGCTCTAATATACAAATTATTCCATAATGCAAGGGGTTCAATTAAATTTGGGGCTTGTGTTAGTTTTCTTGAACTGAAGAAAGCATCACAGCGTAGATACCTTAACACAACAGAAATTTATCTTCTCACAGAACTGGGGTTTAGAACTTCATGGCCAGTTTGCTCGTAAATATCTGCACCAGTCACGATCTTACTGACTTAATTATGGCTGCCTTCATGTACCCTCTCATGACTTTTCCTCATTGTACACACAAAGGAGGAAATGAGCTCTTTGGCTTAGCCTATGTGACTACTATTTCTGTAATGACATTTAAACTTGGTTGCATCCTTAGAAGCCATATATTTTTAATAAACCCATACTGGGCCTTTGAGTGTCAACGTGTGAATTTGGGGCGTGGGGAATACAAACATCCAGCTCATCACACACACCCCTTTGCAGGGTCACTGTCTGTTGCCAGGCTGTGGTTAGCATCAACTCCAGACGGGATCTGTACTTCTGACATCTCTGGCGGTTACCACTTAACTTTTAGCTGCTCTTTCACTAGTCTATTGCTCTCATGAAGCATCAAGCCCAGTTCCTCATTTCTCAACAGAAAAAAAAAAGAACTCTATTGTTTTCATCCATGTTCTTCTTCTTCTTGAAAACAGACAGTCCCTCACTCCTTCCCGAGACACGTGTTTTGTGAACATGTTCTTCATTTGCTGCATGTGCCCTGAGGACGACTCCAGAGACAGCAAAAATACAAAACCTGCCAGTTAAGTGTTTGCTAAGAGCACTGGAGAGAGAGAGCTCAGTCAGCAAAGTGCCTGCCAGGTAAGGAGAAGGGCCTGAGTTTGATCCTCAGAAACCATATACAAACCCAGTTGTGTGGCATGTGCTTGGGATCCCAACAGTGGAGAAGCAGAGACTCACTGACCAGCCAGCCTAACCTACATACCAAGTTCCAGGCCAGCGAAAATGGAGGGAAGCAACTGAGGAATGTCCTCCACATGCACACACATCAACACACACACACACACACACACACACACACACACACACACACACACACACGCTGTTGAAAAGATTCTAGCATCTTACCTCTACCATCTATCACTGTTCTTGCTTCCACTGCACTTCTTTTTTGGTTTGGTTTGGTTTGGTTTGGTTTGGTTTGGTTTGGTTTTAAGACAGGGTTTCCCTGTGTAACCCTACTTGTCCTAAAACTCACTCTGTAGACCAGGCTGGCCTCGAACTCACAGAGATCCACCTGCCTCTGCCTCCCAAGTGCTGGGATTAAAGGTGTGTGCCACCACCACCAGGCTCTACTGTGCTTCTCAACAATGGAACAAGAATTACAAAGGAAGGAGAAGGTACACCCTAGTGACCACGGCCCTGACAAAGCTCAATATTCCTCCATCCTATGGTGAAGTATGTAAAAAGATAACACCCAGCAATATCTGTCATGTTAACATCTAGGCCTTGAGGCTTGCTATAGCCTGTTACCATGGTAACAGTGATACTGCTGTGGGCTTGGGCTATGTGACAGCTATCAACTTCCAGTCTTGTGCTGTTTCTATCCTGAACTTCCATGTCAAGAATCTCAGGCTTATGTAAACAGAGACAAAAAGAACAAAGACTCCAGTCAAAAGTCAGCCCAAAGACTCCAGGTAGGTGAGGAAAGGCACCTTGGAGCTCCTCTTTTAGACACCAGAAGGAAATGGGCTCCTGAGCAAACCAGAAGAAGGTCGTGCCTAAGTCTTCACTAATAGAGCTGTGTGCTATAAGCCACCAGCTGTGGGAACAGTTCACTGCAAGCCAACAGCTATAGGAAGCAATCCCTCTGTGGAATTAGACAAGGTTTCCTTCAAAATTCAGTATCTCGACAGCACATCACTACTTAAATAGGAAGCCCGTGGTGGGTAAAAGGGATCCTTGGAGAGGGAGAAGAAAAAGATTGTTAAGAGGCAAGGCTCAGAAATGAAAAAAAATGCAGGGGCAAGGGGGTTGGAAAAGGTGGAGAAGGACTAAGAAATCTACAAGGTACAGATTGTCTTGGAAGCAATTAGATTAGGTTTTGAGCCCATGTAGTGTGTGGGTGCAGGAGAGGAAAGACAGTAAACTGACCCACTAAGAGCATGGATCCTCTCAACTTTCAACTCAGCCATCTGACCTTACGAAGGCATGCCCTCCTTTTGGCATCCACTTTTTTTCCAGTGGAAAAATAGAGAGATCAGGATTTTAAAAAATCTGTTCAAGATTAAATCTTTATCTTTAAAAAGAAAATACTGAATGATTTCATGGCTCTTGTAAACTCTACATTTTGGAAACCATATCTCGTTCACCCTATGAGGTGAACGAGACCATTACTATAAACTGCTGGCTGATTGTATTACAGAATTCTAATAACCTATTTTAATAGGAATTATTGTTACTTCAATAACATAGAAGTATTCCTAGGGCTAACATCATGCTTTCCAATGTTTCTACCCAACCCCATATGAGGCTTTGTTTTTAGTACATATGAGGTCAGTAATTGACACCTCAAATTTTCTAAGAAAATAATTCTTTTAATATGTGACGATAGATGTCCATCTTGTATGCTATTCATTTGTAAAACCAAGTTATAAATATTCTTTAGGGAAAGTCCCTTTTGCAGTTTTAATATATTTGATGTGATCAAATATAACATTGCTTTTAGATCATTAATTTGGTTCTACAAAATAAATGAAAATATTACATGCATTATTAATAAGTACATTTTCTCTTAAAATATGCTCTACCTGAGTCTATTTCACTCATCCACTTAACTCCCACTTGGCATGATCTTCCCATATATACTGAGCTCTCTTTCTTACATACATCTTTCTTTATAAAGCATACTTACATCTTTCTTTATTTTTCAATGATCTCATTATGATCCAATTTCCTCTCACTTTATTTTCTTTTTTTTTTTTTCCGGGCTTGGAATTAAACCCAGAGCCTTTTGCTTGACACACACTCTATCACTCTATCACATTGCCTTACTCTCTATACAACTTTCCCTTAAATCTATTGTGATTCTATTTTGTTTTGTTGAGTCCTTATTCTATCGTTTCTGGAATTTTTTGCTCTCATCCTCAAACCCAGGTAAGCCATAGCTTCTCTTAATGTTTTCTCTTAAAATTCTCATTCAATGTCCCCAGCATTATTCTGTATCTATTCTGTAATCATTCTTATACACAACTCATATTAGTCTCTTAGTTTTAAATAAACAGACATCTAGGACTAGAAATATTTTCTATTCAATTATATATACATCACATAAGATAGGTGTGTTCAATCAATAATTGTTTAAAATGAAAATCAAAGAATATATTACACATGATGCCGGTGAAGACATTAAAAGAAACTGGAAATATGGAAACATTAAATTCAGCTACATTTATTATAGGAACATCCACTGATATAAAATAATCCATTCATTAGTTAATCCTGAGATGAATATAACCTGGTTTTGAGCCATCATTGAAAAGTATTATTTTTTCTCCTAAATACAATTTTGACAGTTTAGTCTCTAACTTAAAAATAGGAAGTTGAAGAAAAGCAACAGCAAACGATTAGACTGTCCTTGCATGCTTTCTGTAATAAAAACCACAGAAGGAAAAAAATGCCTTGATGAACGTTTCTTTTATGAACTTACAGTGTTTAAGGAATCACACCAACTACACAGACTACAGTATGTTTCAGGATAGGAATCACACAAATCAGACAACCTCTTCAGAGATGCTCCAAAATGACCCCAATTTGCAAAGCAGAAGTTTACCATTTCAAAGCAGTAATATATGTCATCTTCGTGTATACTCGAGTCACAGAAAATGGCAATGCAGACATAAGTGTCTTATTACCTGTCTAGAGTGAAGGTGTACCTCTTGGTGGCTTGGTCGTTCACAAGGTAAGTTCTCTCAAGAAACTCCATGGCAGCTGAGACAGGAGTTGTCACTGTTGTTGCTGACGTTTGACTCCCTGCTCCGTTTTGGAAGAAAAGGAGCGCTGGGATTCCTATATTCACACAGTTGCCTAAGAAAAGAGACAAAAAGCTTCCAGTATTGAGTTAACAGGCCTCCTACATCAGTGTTGGTGGTGGGTCTGTGAAATTTCGTCTTCTTGGAAGATCATCTGGACTCTTTCTATCACCCACAGAAACTGCTTTTCTGGGAGACTTGAAGGTGGAACCATAAGAGGTCTCTTCGTGTGTGTGTGTGTGTGTGTATGTGTGTGTGTGTGTGTGTGTGTGTGTGTGTGTGTGTGTGTGTGTACCCATGCACATAATGTGTGATCTCGCTGTGCTTTCTAAGGGGTGGAGTTGTTCAGGGATTACCTGCTAATGCTGATGTGGGGCTCAGACCTTCAAAGCACACCTGAGTGAACTGCAAATAACCACCCTTCTGTCTTTCTCTACACTAACCTCATTTTATTTTCTTTTTGTTTGGTTCCCCCCACAAACATTTCTCCTGGGATTTAGCTCAGAGACAACCTCTAAGTGGATGTCAGGATTTTAACTCTCTTCTCCCAGGACCATTTTTGGATTTCACTTCTGAAGTGGGGAACAAAGGTCATTAGTCACTGTTATCTATGATCTGAACCCATTCTGGATATGGACATCTTTGAGAACCCTTGACAAGCTCCCTGCTGGGTAAATAACATCCCTCACAGTAAAGTACATCCACCCTCAGCTGAGTGTAGAAGACCCAGCCCAGGCTGCAGCATCAGGCACATCAGTCACAGTAGATCAGGAATGCAGCCTTCTGAGTTGTTCCCAAAAGAACTTCAAGTCACAAAATTCCAAGGATTGACACATTCCTCAATTGCACATGGCCTTCCTTTCCATAGATGAGAAGGAACAGGAGCCTGGTCAAACAATAGTCATTTGAATACAGACCAAAGATCTACAAAGACTTAGTGGAGGAGACTGTGAGGCAGAGCAGAGAAGAAGGAAGTGCCTCAAACCACTTTGTCCTTGTTGCCTTCTCCTTTTTGATTCCATCTGCTGAAAACTGAGAAAGGTTTAGCTCCAGAATAACTTCTCAGCCTAGTGTTATGGGGGTATGCCATTTTGTCAAGCAGAGATCACTCCCAATGCCCTAATAGGATCAATGTTATCCTTTACAAGGGGAATAGGATGTGGTGGCACTGGAAGTCAACCATGAGAAAGAAGCTGCCCTTGTCTGAGGTCCATCACATCAGTGGGGAGCCATACATCTGGCAAGCTACAAGACTTCAAATATCCTCATTTGTAATATAAATTCTAAGGGCTCTGCATAGAACACTATTGTCTGACTATTAACTTTGCTCTGACCGTGAAGAGTCAAAGAAATAACTCTAGGGAGGCAATCTGTCCTTGCTGGAGAAGGCATAGATGTCAGAAGCTAATGCCAGCAGTCTAAAAACCAAAGTATTTCCTTCTCACGTACCCTAAGTTACCTGAGAAAAATATCAAGTTATTCTGTGGAGACAAATTAGACAAAAACAGAAAACAACTACTAATCCATCTGGATGACACAGGACTGTGCTCTGTTGCAAGAATCATTCGTGAACAATTTCTGGCACAGAGGAGAGGAATCAAATCCAGAAGGATGGATGCTGAAAAGACAGGCAAGCAAGTACAAATCTAGCTGAGACTCACTAAGACTGAGACAAAGGGAAGGACAGACAACACTGGGATACAGAAAGGAGAATGCTGCCTGTAGAAACCGTAGAAAAGAGCAGCCCTCAAGTCTGAGACTGGACCATAAGCTTCGTCATTTGTTTAGACATGGACACACATTTGGAAGTGCTCATGATTCCGTGAGTACAGAGGTCACATAATCTTGCAATGTGGATTGCCTGTGGGCAAGGACAGGGGGAATAGGGAGTATTGGTATAGGATAAGGTGAAGCAAAGATGAGAAAATAGGGAACAGGGACCAAACAAAATAAGACAAGAAAATATGGATTGATTCCATCTAATTATAAATTTAACTAAAAGAAATTACCCTGGTCATAGGCTCTGTACTGAAATTTCATATGTTGGGATATTATTAAATATGCATAGCTATAAAATATGTATGGACACATGTAATATATTTTAAATTAAAAATTAAATGTCTATATTTTTAAAGTATTGAGAAATTAGATACCATTTTCATCAAATATTTATAAATTTCTAAGTGTTATTCTTGAAGATAATTACTGTATATCAAAGTATCTCATGTAAATAGCTTAAGGGCAGAGAATAGTGGATTGTAGCAAATAAAACTTCCATGTTAGAAACAGAATTAAGTTTTGTAACCATAAATTTAAGTACAGCTAAGTTATGATCAAGAGTTGCCTTTATGTGCAGCTGAAAAGATGGCTCAGTGGTCAACAGGGCTTGCTATGCATGAAAGCCAGAGGACTTGAATCAAAGCCAGGTGTGGTGGTACTCCTGTAATTTAAGCATTGGAGGGCAGAGATGAGGGGGTCTTGGGAGCTCTATGTTCAGCCAACCCACCTTCTATGGTGAACTTAAGGTGAGGTTCAATGAATACAGTGGAGGGAGCTAGAGGAGAACACCTTACGTCTTCCACCAGTCTCTGCATGTGTGAGTATGGGTATCCCTGTCTGCACATGCACCCATGTATACACACCATGTACACATGGAAATAGTATTAAAAAATTTAAAAGGCTTGTGTAAAATATTCTCACATTTGTCACAACCTTACAAACCCACTTTAATTGCATTATCATCTTCCTTCCAAATGTTTAGTCAGCACAATGCTTATGAAAAGTTTTGTAACCTCTCCTAGCTAATGTGGGTCACTCTGTCATGAACTGCCCATGGAGGATAAATAGTCCTAGTTGGATACCACAGGAAACACAGGGAATAAACTAGAAAAGCAACTCAGATCAGAACAGAAAATCCCCCTCTTGTTGACGGTTGGCTTTGGTGGGCATTCTGCTGTTCATCTCAGTTTCCTAGGCAACCAGCTTCCCAACCACCCTGAATTACAGGTTGTCCTCTCCACCCACTCTCCATCATAAGCTCACTGCAACTGAAGGGGCAAAATGCAATTTACAACAGTTACCTCTGAGAATAAATATTCTGTCAGCCACAGAATAACACGGAGATAACAGCTTTGGCTTCCTGGAGCTGGCTGTTTTCGGCACCAATTTCTTATTAGGATTTTGCAAGCAATAACTAATCCTTGCACACAAAAAAGCATTCCTACAAGATTTTATAACATTTTGTTTGCTGAAGAGGGTGGCATATATGCTGTAACACACGTATAACGGTCAAAAGACAACCATGGGAGTTAGGCTTTTCCTCTATCATCTGGGTCCCAGGGATCAGATTCAGATTGTCAGTCTTGGGGGCATGCACCTTTACCTGCTAAGCCATCTCACTAGTGTCTACTTACATATTGTTTTATATTTCATTTACAGAAAAGATATATGTTTCTATGAAATGCTGCTAGGATCACCCCAGACACAGCACTACCAATTTCTGACGGTTTGTGTTCCCCTAAATAAATTTATATTTCAAAAACATTTACTGATGCTATTGCTTGCATATAACTGTCATCTAGAAGGGGGTACAAAAGCAATCTTGTTTTCAATCATATATTTGGTTTTTCATCACGTTTGGCTCTTTCATATTTTGTGGACAAGAAGAGGGATATTAGTTTAATACCTGAGCTTGTAAATTAGAGAGGTTCAGTTTCAATTTCTGATGTCTGCACTTCCTTAAATGAACAAATTGTGTAGCCTCTGTATTTTTTCAGGTTTTTTGTCTATAAAATGGGAACATTAGTAAAGTTCACCACATAGTGTTTTTCTGAAGCAAAAAAGAGAAAAGTAACTAATACAGTTTGTATATATATATATATATATATATATATATATATATATATATATATATATATATTTAGTTTAATCCCTAGCATAGGACAACAATCTCTAACATATAGCCACACACTGCTGTGTACTCAGTCACATTCAAGCACGATGGCCCAGTCTTAGTAAAAGGCTGTGAATTACCAATGAAGGGAAGTATCCATGAGGAAGGTAGTGGCCACTGGAAAAACCCTGGGGCCTTGAAATCAACATCAGTTTAGATTTTTCAAAGGCTCTGAATTCAACTGTCTCAATTTAGACATTCATGTCTGCCTCATACTGCCCCTTTCCCAGTAAAATGCCGTTTCGTATCGGCCCCCCATTACAATGTTTTCTTCAACAAGGCAGGAAATTCACAGTCTACTGTAGTGCAGATTTCCATGTTCCCACACAGATGATAACAGTCTTTCTTATTTCCAAACTGAATAGCATTTCCACAGCAAGGTTATTTCCACTGTGTAAGTTTTTCAAAAGTTCTAATATTAAAACAAAAACATTGAAATTTTGATTGAGTTGTATTATAAACAGCATTATTAAACTTTTATTTTTATCTAAAGTAAACACATACAAAGCATCAATAATTTCAAATATTTCATATATTACTGCCAAATGGACTGAAAACCATCCAATTTTATTTTTTCCCCTTGATAAATTAGGGCCATATAACTTTTTCCTTTAACAATTTTCATTTTTAAAGATGTTGAGCATTAGAAACATGTCAGGAGAAGATCCAATTTGTATTTATTGAGAAAAGATATGATAAAATATTGATACTAAAACAATAAAAGAAACACTTTATTAAGTCTCATAGATCCAAATAAATAATAGAAAAGTAAACTAGAATGTGTTGGAAAATATTGGGTCTAGATGGTTGACACGCTTACGCTGACTATATTGTATCAGTTATTCTGTATGGAACAGTTGCTGTGCAAATTTGAACTAGTTGACCCTTAAAATCATCCTCTAGGTCAGGTTGCTTTTGTCTTACAAATTTCAAAGCAATTGTTTTGAGCCTTTCTAATTCCACAAGTACTTATGTCTCTCTCCTTTATTTTATATATGCAAACAAGGGGTTGTGCAAAGACCAGAGCTGTGATTTGGGCTTATTACAATACAGAAGGCAATCAAATATGTCCTCTGATATTGCTCTTCCTTGACATAAGTGTACAAAACAGTCACTCAAAGCTAAAGCCCTAAATTTCTTAAATTAGAAATCACAGCAATACAACTCTCCTGTCCATACCTGGAATGCAGTATTAGAACCGCATCAGTACTGTCTATTGACTGTTCTTGGGTGGCTT